GGTTAGGCTGGCGGCGGCCGGCGGCTGTCTGCGGCTCTGCGGCAGCCGATGCTGTCCGCGGCCACGGGGGAGCGCCGGACACGGCAGCGACAGGCGCGGTCCGCCGGGACGCACCGCGGCCTGTCATTACGGAGCTCATCAGCGACTAGCGCCTCCCCACCGCAGATCCATCGCCGCTGCCCTATATGGACGGTATGCCGTTCGCGCCGGTCCCTTGCCAGCGAACCCTCTGATCGGTTCGCGGAGGGAATGTCCCTGGTGATGGTTGGGAGAGGACAATGGTGCTGGTGACGAGGGACGGCTGCCGGGAAACGTCTTTTGACAGGAAGACTGAACGCTATGGACGACTGTAGACGGCCATCGCCTGTATTTTGTGAAGATTGTTGACGGTGAGCTGGATTCGAGCTGTATCCTGCATTGGAATGGGTGTATCATATCGTTGAATGCAGACCATCATGGGTTGTGGTGGATGACGGGCGGTGACGGTGGTGACGGACTGACTCTCCGAAGTCTCTGTGTACGACTGACTGACATCACTGGGTGGACCAGTGGTCTCAGATACCCGGCGGACTCACAAATCTCACCAGTCGGCCCGTCGGTCTTCCGTTGGACGATTGCACAAGAGTAGTGGGAGCATTTCACGCGGTCGGGGGCTCAGGTTTTAGACTGTGACCGAGCTACGCTCGTTTCGATACCGAATGGAAGCCGACGCCATTTTCCATTCTTGAACTGGATGGGTTCGACTTTCTACTGCATTATCGTTCAGGTCCATCTTCAAGCATTTCGGCTTACGTTTTATAGTTTTGGTCCCAATCGCTGCCACCTGTCGCACAGTCCATGCCACCCATCGATTATCACCACCTTCCGCCTTACCCATCACACCACACATCACACCATCACATCACGGCTGTCTCCATCACATCCCTCCAGAAGCCCACCGACGTCAGCCCTCCTCCCGCCCGTCCCTCCCTGTCCCGCACACCGGCCTTCGTCGAACGTCGGTCGCCTCTCGTCGCCGCGCAATTCCGTCGCTCGCAGACGTGATTGCTCCATTCACAGTGATTAGTCCAATCTGGCATTCAGCGCTGATGGTCGTCTGGCAACAGGCGGGCGCTTATGACGTCACCGGCTCCGGTCGCCGGTGGTCGCCGTCCCGCGGCGCCGCCCGTGATTGGTCTGATTCGGGACCGCTTCAGGCGGCTGACGGGCGCTGTTTTCGCCACCTTCCGACCGCGAGATGACCTCGTTAGCAGGATGCGTGTCCCCCGGGCCGCGTCCATCCGGCTCCTCCCCGCCCGCGCGCAGTGGGAGGAGCGGAGGAGCACTCCTCTGCTGGCTGACAGACTGCCCGGACTGCCCCACCCCGGGGCTCCGCCGACATCGACCCCATCTGATCTGCCGACTGGCGCCCGCGAACAAACGCCCTCAGCGGCCGCGGAAGCACGCACAACACCGCCAAAACGGTCTCGGGGTGGCGGCGGGGTGGCGGTGGGGTGGCGCCGGCCCACCCCCGCCGCTGGGGTCGGGCCCGGCGGATGGGAGACGGACCGAGAGAGGCGGGGCGCCGGCTGGCCCGGACCGGCTATCGAGCGGCCTGTTTTCGGCAGTTGGGCGGCAACGGGGCGGGCGCGGCGGAGGCTGGGGCGGCGCGGTGGATTTGGGACCGAGAAGTTGGGCAGCGGAGGCTATAGGAGTGGGCCAAAACCGGCGTCCGGCGTGCTGCTCTGCCGGTGTTTGCACGACATGCAGGCGCGGTTGAGCGGGAACTCTTGATGGTGTAAGACAAATCAAGCTGGATTCTGCAGTGGAGCGTGTGGCATCATATCGCAGTCCATCAGATTTGAACGTTTTGGTCGAGCCGGCGCTCGACATTTTAACAAGTTCATCAGTTCGCATCCAGGAACATTTTGATCTCAAGTTTACACTACGTGGAATTCCAAACGAGCAAGTTTTAAATTAACTTATTAAAAAGTTTTACTCACACGATATGTTCAGCATCCCCCTTCTGCGGATATCCACGCGCTTTGCTTCAGGCACTGCTTAGTGAAGTGATCGTTGACTTGGCAAATTAAATATCTACAAGCAAAGTGAAGTATTTACCTCAATGGGTGATCAAGTAAGGCAGACTGTCCCGAATCGTCCTCATACGCTACGCTAGTACAACTTCTCTAATTCAGTTTTGAATTAGTTCACTGAAAACTGCATGACCTTATCAGCTGTAATCGAATCAATGAAGTTTTACATGTGCACTGTTCCTACGCTACGCTCACATGCGCCTGTCCTGATCCCCCGTTTGCATCCCTATAGTATGCAGACCTGCCGATGTGTGAGCGATGACCTAACACGGCCGGTCGTGCTCGGTACAGTCGCGGCTCTCCATCCCGTCAATCCGCGCCACTCGGAGATTCACAGCTCCTTGGCTGGCCGGTAACGACGCCCGTTAAACGAGCGCCGGCTCATCCATAGTTGACCGTAAACTGGGCGGCCGTCAGCGGCGACCGGCCCGGTCAAGTGTCTGGCTGAGTTACGGCGTCGATAGCGCCGCCGAGGAGCGCACGCCGCACAGGGGGACCTGCTCGCCCTCCCCCCGCGGCCGTGTCTTGTCGTGGGCGGCGTGCCAGCGCGGTGGTGACGGCAGCAGCAGGCTCCGCCGAGCCGGCCTGAGCCGCTAGCTGACGGCCTGTCGGAGCCATAATCAATCGGCGAGCACAGATTCAATTTTGCCCGTCCATCGCTCGTGGCGGCGCGCCGCTCTGCCGTCCTCCGCGGCTCGCCCGACCGAGCGGCGGCGAGGGCTAGCGGCGGCGGTCCGCGCCGGCACGCGCTCGGCCGTGTCCGAGTGAAAAGGGGCAAACGGCGGCCGCGGAGAGCGCTAGAGACGGAGAGGAATGGAGCCGAGACGGCGTATCGACAGGGGAGAGGAGCGGAGAGACAGAGCCGGAGCTCACTGAAAGAGACGAGCAGTCTGCGACTGTCTTGATGGCTCAATCGACGAACATGCAAATGGTTGGGCGCTTATGTCTAAATGTTTTGCTTTTGAAACCTTGCCCAAAGTAGCCATCCTGTGATCGTTTTACCCCGAACAACCAAGGAGTTAACAGCTGTTTGCGACTCTTACGTGCTGCTCAAAACTTTAAATGGGAAAACTTAACTAATCATAAATTCTCTTAATTTTACAAGTTGCTATTTTCCGATAAACTTCATCAGCAAACCCTATCGCGCGAGGTGAGGGCAATGCATGCTGATCGCCGTTTTACGCAGGATCTTGTCAAAACTTTTATCGAAATGTGAGTGCTTGCGGATTGGTGTGTCGAGGACATTGCGTCTATCCTGCTTTGGGTAGAAGGAAGCTCTCACAAAAACTTGCTTTTTACAATGCATTATACAAACAACCACTTGCCACGCATCGTCTGTCAACCGCCGTCTGCCAGTTGCCGTCTATCAAGGGTCATCTGTCATGTCCCGTCTGTCATACCCCGTCTGTCATGTACCGTCTGTCACATGCTGTCTGTCATGGCCCGTCTGTCATGTCCCGTCTGTCAGCGGGCGCCCGCCCGTGTCGCCGCCCGCTGCCGCCTCTCGGCGCGGATATTGCCGCGGATGGCAGCCATAATTCACACGCCCCGCACGCGCCGCTGTTTAATGATCAGCTGTTCGAGGAATCCCTCTCCTCCCCCGGGTGATGGCGGAGCCCCCTCGCTCTGTATCGAAGAACAGGACAGTCAATACATCAGTCACCTGAGCCCACCAGTGCGGCCGTCCGCCCAAGACTCTGTCAGGGGCAATGTAAACTGTAAATCTGTCGTCCCGTGCCACTACGGAAGAGCGCAGTTGTCTGCAGCCCTATCGCCTTACCGTCATCCGTCTTCCTGTCTGACATGACTGTCACAACTTCCCTATCATCATAACTGCCGATGACCTAAACAGCACTGTCATGACCGCTGTCATCCGATGTCAGCCGGTGAAGTTCGTCTCGCTGTTAACCAGACAAAATGAGCGGGAAACTTTGTTTCATTATCGGCCGCGGTACGCCGGTAACGACTGTTCACTCTTCCATGGTTTGTCCAGAGTTCCGCGTTCACCCCACTACCCACTCGGCACTCGCTCCTGTCTGTTGCGAGCCGGCGCCCCCTCCCTCTCGCCAGGCCAGGCGTAGCGCGGAGGCCCCCGCTCTACCTGGATAATGAAGTTTCTTAGCACCGCCCACGACTGGAACGACGCCCGCGAGCTTGTCGAGCCAAGCTCCCGAAATGTCCTCGCCCATACTCCGGAGACTCGTCTCACTTTTACGGCCAAGTTTCGCAGCCGGCGACTAAATTACAGACCAGAAGCGAAGTAATTTGCCTATTATGCTTAAGTCCCGGTATTTAACAGATAATGCTGGCTTGATGAAGCCAGATTATTAAGTTAGCCTGGGGAGGGACGCATAATAGCCGTGACACACTGTTCATCGTGCTTTGCAATTAAGGTCAATTCAACTCTGAGACATTTGACATCGTAACATTCTGAAAAAGACACCTGTGGATTCTCACAACTTGGTAGGGCAGTGAAATGTATGCTCAGATCTTCTAAAAACATAGTGGCATTTGCTTCGTTCACAAGAATATCGTCTCCCGCTAAAACGAAGCACAATCATGTAGGCACCAGCAATTTTCTGTTAAGTTTCCCGGTTGAAATATGGATGTTGTTAGGTACTCGAAAAGCACATCCTTGGTACATCAAAGTTCCTCTAGCTTGAATTGGTTGTCTAGTAAATATAGCTGTACTAGCTGTACCGTGCAGATCCACAGTGCACAGACGTAAATAGCCAGCAAAACAGTTCACAACTGCACACCCTCTGACCTCTCCCCTGCCGTCCACTGTGCGCCCCGCACAGTCAAACCATGCTCAGCCGACTGCGTTTTGCGGCTTCATAGGGCGTCTTATGAGCGTGCGGGCGTCGTTTGTCGCCCGACGGCCCCGTCAGCGTCATTTGACCGCCACCAGCCGTCGGCCATCAGTCGGCGACGTCGGACGCTGCAGAAGAGCCGCCCATTCCGGCCGGCGCAGATGGCACATATGCGGCGCAACAGCTGCCCAGCGGCGAGGACACGACCGCCGTCGCCGGGTCGGCGAGGTTTGAGTGTTAGCCCGCTAATCGATGAATCACGAGGCCGTTGAAGGTGGCTGTTATTTTGGTGGTGAACCCTGTAGTGCTTCGGTTTGAGTAATGACAAAGACGTCACTTTTCATAGGGTGGCGTTTCATGAAAGCTGCGACATTTTCTGAGTAATTACCGGCTCCTAATCGTCTGTGCTGTCCAGTGTCAGGCATGACCTGTTTTGCCGGTGACCGGTGTCCAGGTCAGCCGCTGGGCCCGGTGGGAAGGGCGGTGTCTCCTGCTCACCTGGAGCTGAGTCGTCGCCCCAGCACTCCCTCACCGTCCGACCGAATCCGAGCGCCGGATTAACGACCTCCAATCGATGGCTCGAGCAGCTCTCAAGCATCGTTCTGCCCGATAGGTCTTCCGCAATCGACGGGCGCGAATAAATCTCACTAGCGATCCTAGTCGGCCTCCAAATAAGAATTCCCGGCTTTGGAGACGGGACGCGCGTCTGGCTCGGATTTCGCCAATTCGTGCAATTTAAATCTCGTTAATCTCGTACGGCCTACGGCCGTGTCCTCTTGAAGCCGATATTGCGAGAGCCATGTCCGACCAATGTAGTGTATTATGACTGCAGCCTGCCTGTTGGTGGAACAATAAACTGGACGGGTAAGTGCGCCGTCTCGCCGCTCGTGATGATGATACGAGGATGACTGTCGAGTCGTATTTCTGAGTGTTCGTGCACAATAAATAACGGTGATACGCTTATGCCTCTTTTGTAGCAATCCTATTGGTATAACATTGACATCATATTACACTATAATACCGGATTTAGCCTCTGAGCTGAAAAAACGTAGCATTCAACAACCGTTCATTGTTTTCATGTGAAATTTTATCTCATTCACGTCACGTATTGATTAGGTGAAACGGTTGTCAAAGTTCTATGTACCACTTAAAATCGTGGATGGACGGCTGGCGTATTGCTCTGTCTTGGCGCAGTGAAATAGATCAGGATAGTTGCCGAGTCGAAGTGACAACACATGGGTGGGTGCAGAGCAGAGGACTGTATACATATAGCTTGTCTTGTGCGTCCACCACGACGAAAACACACTTGACATTTGAGAAACTATAATGTGGTTGTGGAAGGAGTGATTTGAACATTTACTATTCGGTGTTAATTGGCATTGAATTAATTTCTTGACATACATTTTACTTACCTTTGTTGGTCTCGACTAATGTAGGTATTCGTAATTTTAGTTGGTGCTTTTTATGAAAAGTGGTTCTGCAGCACATGCTACACAACATGTCATTGACACGACCTAGAGCGCTGGCGGCTGGTGCTCGAAAGTCATAAAGTTAGCTAATATTTGTCATACCTTGGTTGCTGATTTCTTTCCTTCTCGTAAACGCTAGTGATATTTTTATTCGGTGTTTCGTCATGGTCAGCTAAGAGTTCGTAACAAGCTCCGCTCCCGATAAGTCGTGGGATTACTATAATTCGACCCAAGGCACTATGGCCCACATACCTACTCCACCTTTAGGCTGTCAGTTTCCGAGGTAGATATCCTGTCAGCGCCGCTCCCGATCCTGACAGTTCCGCCGATCCGTCGCCTTATGACAGCGGATTAGCTGTCCGGTGACCAGCTCGGGCAGCCGTCTGATCAGCGACTGGGGTCTCACTTCTCACGAACCTGGGTCACACGAGGCCGCTATCACTTCGGCGAATTAAGGTCATGCAACGCTCCTGGCAGCCATAAGTCGGTTGAGGCAGTTCCTGATTAGAGACTGTGCCTTAACCCTATTAGTGGCAGGGGGGGGGTTGTTTTTATCCACCCCTCAGGTTTTTCGAGAATATCTCCGAAACCGCTGAAGCTACGATGCTGAAATTTTCTGACTTTTCCTAAAACTAAATTGGGCACATTCCCTGAAAATTTCAAGTTCATAACTTTACCAGGGGCGGCTCCAGAGCACTGGGAATTGGGGGGTCCTATTCGTGAAGCGAGTCATTTGGGCGCAGATCACGATGCTGCACCAGTTTTACGAACAGTGAATAAAAGGTATCATGTGATAACATATACAGTTATTGTGCATCCTCTTTTGACACGTTTTTGCTATAATAGGCGGATCCAGGCGTCCAAAAAGGGGGGTTATGTTTTACCTCCCAACATAGGTGCCCTGACACCGCCTATGCCTTACCAATACAATTTTAGTCGTTCTCTCATAAGAAAATTATAACATAACAAGACCATTACCACCCTTTATAGAAACAGTACCAACAAAAACCTTATTTACTATACTTTTTGTGTACCCCCAATCTCAATGATCTGTATCCGCCTATGATTTTTGAAAATGCATATTTTTTAGGATCCATGTGAATTCCTGGTTCATTCTCTATCGATCGGCAAAAGTTGCGTTAAGATTGGTTCAGAAACCTGGCCGTGATAAACAGTCTAAAATGTATCTGCAATTTGCCCGTTTTTACCCCCCTCTACCCCCCCTATTGACATTTCTTAATTTTTATTTTTTAGAAATGTAGATCACGTTGAGCGAAATCGAATGCCGTTTGAATTTTGAAAATCGGCCCGTTAGATCTCGAGATATCAAGGGGGGGTCGTAAACAGCCCCCCCCCCCTGCCACTAATAGGGGGTAGCCAGGAGCCTGCCACTAATAGGGTTAATAGCTTGATACTTTACGGTATCGGGATTTTTAGGCGTAATGACTAGTGGTGTCAATCGGAACTTGAATCTTCGGAATTCCGATTTTGTCCAATGTCCAATTCGGAATTCGGTTGGACAATGGCCGCAGGCTTTGGACAACTTTGGACAATCGCTTGCTACACCTGTAGTGTTCGCTATATGGCAGTAGTTTAGTGCTTTTCACACGACCTCACGTGACTCCGCCATTTTGTGTAAAATACAGTTTACGTTCCACCTGGCCATTGTATACAACAGATAACAGTTCGGATTCCATAACACTACATTTTGGCGACTAAGCACGAGATCAGTGCGGACTCTAGTGGAATCGCGTGTCGCGAATTTCCGTGTAACTTTTTTTTTGTGTTTCGGCCCGCGGTACGGCCATGAGCGGCGACAGTGGACCGCCCCTACCCGCGCCGTTTTTGCCCCATCCCGGGACGCCGGCCGTCCCGTGGAGGAACTGGGAACAAAAGTTCGAACTTTATCTGTTGGCCAGGTGCGGCACGAGCCCCCTGCCCCCCGAGCAGCGGCGCGCTCTGCTCCTGTGCGCGATCGGTGACGAGGCGTACCGGGTGTTCGACACCCTGCCGCCGGTCGCGAAACGTGACGGCGAGGACGACTACGACGTCACCCTCCGCCAGCTCCGGGAGTTCTACACTCCCCGGACCAACGTCATCGTGGAACGATTCCGGTTCCGACAGCGAGCCCAGGCCCCCACAGAGTCCACAGCAGACTTCGTTGCTGCTCTGCGCGGCCTGGCTCGCACCTGCCAGTTCGGCGCAATGGAGTCGGAACTCATCCGGGACGTGGTGGTGGAGAAGACCCCCCACCAGCGCCTGAGGGAGCGGCTCCTTCAGGACAGGGACCTCACTCTGGACAAGGTCCTGAGTGTCGCAGAGACCTATGAGGACTCCCTGCGGGAGGCTGCAGCCATCTCCCAACCAGTTGCAGCCCCACCCGTCTCATCCGTGGCAAAAGTTACGAGGAAGCCACAACAGAAGCGACAGCAGCAGCAGCAGCAGAGCGTCAGCAGCGACTTCTGCACCAACTGTGGACGTGAGGACCACGCACCCAGGGATGCTGCCTGTCCAGCCCGCAGAGTGACCTGCCACTCCTGCGGAAAGAAGGGCCACTTCGCCAGCTGGTGCAGAGGTGGCAGTGGAGCAACCCCTGCAAGGCCAGCTCAACGACAGCACCACAAGGCAGTGAAGGAGCTGAACGTGCTCTCCTGTGCTGCCACCACTGGGTCACGCCTCACCTGTACCGTCCAGGTGACTGCAGGTGACGTCACACAGGAGGTACCCCTCCAGGTGGACACGGGTGCCACCTGCTCACTCCTGAGTGTGAACCGTGCCAAGGAGCTGTTCAGAGGCGTGGCGTTCAGCCCCTCCAGCTCACGGCTCTACGGATTCGGCCAGCAGCCACTCTCAGTCCTGGGAACGCTGCCTACCACAGTGACCTACAATAATCAGGCTGTGCCAACAAACTTCTACCTGGTGGACACCAAGAAGACGGAGGCCATCATGGGTATGGACCTGCTGCAGGCCCTGGGAGTCACCCTCCACCCAGCCTCGCACAGCATCTACACGGTGGCAGGCTCAGCCCCGTCAGAGCTACCTGCCATCGAGGGCTACGTGCACCGCATCAAGCTGAAGCCGGACGCAGTACCAACTGCCTACAAGCTGCGCCGGCTGCCCCTCTCCGTGCGAGAGGAGGTTTCCGCAGAGCTGAACAGTCTGCTGGAAGCAGGCATCATCGAGAGGATCGACTCCTCTCAGTGGATCAGCCCGCTGACCGTCTCAAGGAAGAAGGACGGCAGGATCAGGGTCTGTGTAGACCTGCGTGGGCCGAACAGCCAAATCGTCCCAGAGGTTCACCCACTGCCCACGATCGACGAGCTGGAGTCCCAGCTCTGTGGCACCCTCTACAGCAGGATCGACTTGAAGTCGGCCTACCACCAGCTGCGCCTGCACGAGGACTCGCGTGACATCACCGCCTTCCTCACGCCAGACGGCCTGATGCGCTACACCAGGGTCCCGTTCGGCCTGGTGTCTAGCGGCAGCGCGTTCCAGAAGCTGCTCAGTCATCTACTGCAGGGTATCGATGGCTGTGGACACTATCTGGATGACATCCTGGTCACCGGCCGTGATCAGTCCGAGCACGACAGGCGCCTCCGCACCGTGCTGGACCGCCTCAAGCAGGCAAATGTCACCATCAATACAGAGAAGTCCTCCTTCAGCCAGCCAGAGGTGGAGTTCTGCGGTCATCAGCTCTCCAGGCACGGAGTGGTACCTCTCCTGTCTACCACCAAGGCCGTGGCCGAGGCCCCGCCTCCCACCAACGTAAAAGAGCTGCGCAGTCTCCTGGGCTCAACCGGCTGGTTCAGCAGGTTCGTGCCTCAGTACTCCGCTGTGGTGAGACCCCTCGCCATCATGCTGAAGAAGGACGCCACGTTCCAGTGGACCAAGGAGGCCAACGACGCCTTCAACGAGGTGAAACGGCTCATCTCAGCCAGGCCGGTGATGAAGCCCTTCAGCGCCCGCCTCCGGACGATCGTGACGACCGACGCCAGCGACCGCGGCGCCGGTGCCATGCTCACTCAGATCCAGCCGGACGGCGAGGAGCGGCCGGTGGCGTACTGGTCCCGCTCCTTCACCGACGCCGAGTCGCGGTACTCCGTCTCCGAGAAGGAAGCCCTCAGCGCGGTCAATGCTGTCGAGCATTGGCGGACGTACCTGTGGGGCCGTTCATTCACCCTGCGGACGGACCACTCTGCGCTCACCACTCTGCTCACGCCGAAGACGTCCAACCGCGCCGGCGCGCGCATCGCCAGGTGGCAGTCCCGCCTGCTGCCGTACTCGTACACAGTGGAGTACCGGCCCGGGCGCAGCATCCCAGTGGCTGACGCCCTGTCGCGGCTGCCGCTGCCGGACACCGGCGCCGCCGAGACGGACGGCGACGAGATCGTCGCCCTGCTCACCGATGACGTCAGTGACGTCATCACTGATGACGATGTATGTGCCGCGTCGGCCGCCGATCCAGTCATGGAGCAGCTGCGGTCTGTCATCCGCACCGGCTGGCCCGACGCCGCGCGCCAGTGCACGCCAGAGACGCGCGACTACTTCGCCGTGCGGCACGAGCTGCAAGTCCGCCAGGACGGAGTCGTGCTGCGCGGCCCGGACCGCGCCGTCGTCCCGGCCGCGCTCCGCTCAAAGTACCTCCAACTGGCGCACCGAGCGCACGATGGTGTCGTGCGAACAAAGCAGCTCCTCCGCGACCTCGCCTGGTGGCCTGGAATGTCGAAGGACGCCGCTGCACTGGTCGCCGACTGCCCGTCCTGCCACGCAGAGGACGCCGTGCTGACGCAGCAGGCGCGCCCCGCGCCGCTGCAACCGGTCGAGCTTCCAGACCGGCCCTGGTCTAAGCTCGGACTGGACATCGTGGGCCCGATCCCCGGCGCCCCACCGTCTGCAAAGTACGCCATTACTATGACGGATTACCATAGTAAGTGGCCAGAGGTCGCTCTGACGTCATCCATCGAGACTGATGACGTCATCCAGTTCCTGAGCCAGGCCTGGTCCAGAGAGGGACTGTGTGACGAGCTGGTGACCGACAACGGACCCCAGTTCACCAGCGACAGGTTCCGACAGTATCTGGCCCAGCGCGGTATCAGACACCACACGTCTGCCGTCTACTGGCCGCGCGGAAACGGAGCAGTGGAGCGGCTCAACCGAGAGGTGAAGGTGTGGCTCAAGGAGGCCACACAGCTGCAGTCGCGGACGGCCGCCAGCTTCAGCGGACACGTGCGACAGCGCCTCGCTCTGTACCGAGCGACCCCGCACTGCACCACCGGCCAGTCACCCTCGGCGCTCCTGCACGGCCGGCGCATGCGTCTGCACCTGCCGGTCACCACAGAGACTCCGCCGCGCGACAGCTCGCTACAGCACCGAGTCGCTACCCAGCAGCAGCGCAACAGCCGCGGGTACGACTCGCGACAGGCCACCCGGCCGTCAGATCTCCAGCCTGGCGACACGGTGCGCGTGCGGCGACAGGGGCACGTGCCCAAGAACCAGAGTCGGTTCTCCAGCCCGCGCCGAATCGCCAGACAGCTCGGCCCGGCGACCTTCATCCTGTCTGACGGGACAAAGAGGAACGCTGCACACCTCGCCCGCATCCCAGACGCGGTGCCGACCGGCTCAGCACCTCCGAGCACCGACGGGCCGGAACCGCCGCCGCCGCCGCCGCCGGCCGACCCGGCTCCTCCGAGCTCCGGCGAGCCCCAGCCGCCATCGCCGCAGCCGACAGCGTCCACCGCGCCACCTACAGCGCCGACAGAGAGCGCCCGCCCGTCAGATGTCGCTGACGTCGCGCTGCCGGCCGCCACCGGCGCTGCTCGCGACCGGTCCCCCGGTGGGCCGCGCCCGCCTCAGAGGGCGCCCGTCGGCGGCACCCCGCGCCGTGAGTTGCCGGCCTCCTCCCGAGGACGCCGCCGATTCTTGCCGCGCCGATTTACGTGATCGGCGTGAAGTGTAACTTCAAGGGCCGGCGGGTGTAGTGTTCGCTATATGGCAGTAGTTTAGTGCTTTTCACACGACCTCACGTGACTCCGCCATTTTGTGTAAAATACAGTTTACGTTCCACCTGGCCATTGTATACAACAGATAACAGTTCGGATTCCATAACACTACAACACCTCAACATTTTTAAAAAGTAGTCGTGTTTAACATTGATTGGCTATTAGAAAGCTCAGCTTTCGATATGATTAACACTTTTGAGCTTGTAGCGGTACATGAAAAGCAAATGAAATAACAGTGTTGAGTGTAAATTATTGCGTAGGTGTCGGACATCTTTGGACAAATGGCTAGCTTGGACATTTTTGGACGGACAATCGACGTAAGCATTGGACATTGGACGGACTTTGGACATACATTTTCTGAAATTGACACCACTAGTAATGACCCGTGGTTCCCGTTCTTATCGAGCTTCTGGTGTTGAGGCTTTTCAAAGGTCAATCATGATCAAATGTGCAGTGAGCGTTATGTAATACTGCAATATGTTGCAGAAGCTGTCGCTGATCAGAGGATCTACAGAAGCTAATTTAAATACCTGCCGGGCTAGTAGTGCGCGTCTTCTGACGTGTTCACAAACTTACTTTGCAAAAGTATGGTATGTGTTAGGCGCCCAATGCCCACGTCGTATTCGGCACATCTCGTGTTATGGATACTTATTATATTTCTAGGTAGAACTGGGCAGCGGCGTATTTAGAAAATCGCGAAGGGGGGGGCCAAGGGTTTGGAGGGCGCCACCTCACCCAAGGAGGGCGCCATACGGTCGCGAGATAAAAAATCGCTCAGCGGGGTGGGGGTTGGGGGGGTTGGGAGGCGTTTTTTACCATGCCACCAGTTTTTTTTTTTGCGTAACCTCGTATAGGTCGTGCTGCATTGATTTTGCATCGTGTGTATTCTTTATACTCCAGGTCACAAAAGGTCAAGTGTTCTTGAAATGCTGCGCCGAAGGCGCGCGAAATTTTTGAAAACAACCTTTTCCTCCGCTTTTTAGGCACGCCTTTTATACGATCACCGTTCAAAGCTCCTCTCGCTCTTTTACCAAATTTGAAGGTGTAAAAAATACCTAAGGTTTGGTCGGGCCGCTGCCACACAAACTGTATAGAAAGCTTGGCTCATGGGTGTCGATGTATAAAAGTTTATTGGCGGTGGCATATCTACGCACCAGATCACCGTATCGGATTGATACCGGAGCGCGAGATGCGTAAACATCATCCAAATTACCTCAGACCAGCCTTCATAGCCTTCTCACAGATGCATACAGTGTACCCACATAACCAGTTTCAATCACCGAAACTTCAGATGCCTGCTGTTGCGGCCGAACCTGTTGACAATACTTAATCGTAATCCATATAGATGCCATGATGCACGTAAAGTAGGATCAATCCGTTAAGACCAAAGACGTGTTTTATGCATCGTAGAGCGTAGATAGTTTTGGTAGGTATAGGTACTTCATTCATTGTGCTGAATGCACGTTCATTTGTGGCAGTTTTCACAGGCAAGACATCAACTATGTGCAATAGAACGACTAAGTTGAAAAACATGCCAAAGGAGTAAATAAATGATAAGAGGGCAGCGATCAACGGATGTTGCCAATAGGTAGAAGGGCTGCGATCCACAGGAGGGCGCTAATAGGTAGGAGAGCCCCGATCAACATCCCGAGTTTCGATAGTAGGGCACCGATAGGTAGGAAGTTGGCGAGCAGCAGGAGGGCGCCAATGGATAGAAGGGCAGCGATCAACAGGAGGGCACCAATAGGTAGGAGGGCCCCGATCAACAATCAACAGGAGGGCGCCACCAGGTAAGAGGATGGCGAGGAACAGGAGAGCACCAATAGGAGGGTGGCGATCAACAAGAGGTCGCCAATAGGTGGAAGGGCGGTCATCAACTGGAAGTCGTTAATGAGCGGAAGGGTGACGATTAAAATGGGGGTGGCAATGGTGAGGAGGGCGCCTTTGCTCAAGAGGATGACACGAACAGGAGGGCGTCTGTGCGGAGGGCGCTGGTCAACAGGCAGGTACCAGTGGATAGGAGGGCGGTGATCAACAGGAGGGTGCCAGTGGTTAGGAGGGCGGCGATCAACACGAGGGCGCCAATAAGAGAAGGGCCCCGATTAACATTCAACAGGAAGGACTAGGGAACCAATAGGTAGGAGGGCGGCACTGAACAATAGGGTGCCAAAAAGGAGAAAGGCGGCCTTGAAAATTTCACATGAGGGGGCAATAGGTAGGAGAGCGCCAATAATTATGAGGACGCCGATCAGCAGAAGGGCGGCAATATGTAGCAGGGTGGCGACCTACAGGAGGGCGCCTTCGGGTGAGAGGGCGCTTATTTACGGGACAGCGGCTTACATAGGCGACCACCGTTACGCTTAGAGAGCTACAGCCTACAAATGTGGTTGGAGGGCGCCCGAGGGAGCCCTCCAACCGTATTTGGAGGGCGTATTTGGAATGGGCGTCCTCCGAGGGCGCCCTCCATCCGTATTTTCCCTGTAAACACATTCGCGATTGGAGGGCGCCCTCCAGTCGCGATTGTTTTTCGATTCGATTATATCACAATTGCATTTGCGATTGGAGGGCGCCTTCGGCGCCCTCCAATCGCAAAGGGCGCCTTCGGCGCCCAAGGGGGGGGCCATGGCCCAGTGGCCCCCCCCCTGCCTACGCCCCTGGAACTGGGGCTGCTGACTTTCGTCGTTCAGCTGCCAGTGCTAAGGGAATTATGAATTTACCTTATTAAGACGAAATGGCCGGAAAATTATCACATTTCACCAAGTTTATCATGACAGGTTCCTCATATTCAAGTTAATTTTGATCTCACAAGCCCTACCTAATTTTTATGCTTTTTAGAAGAATGCGTGCATTCCATCAGGGTTGAGGGTCACCACTGCGCTTTAGTCAACAAGCGTTTCGTGCAAAAACTTCAAATGCCTTTCAGAGCAAGGTCTGTACAATGAATAAGTTACACAAAACTTGAACGTAGTTATGGAACTTTTATGTTGCATCCGCATTTAGAATTCTATTAAGTTCAGCGCGGCTATTAGCGCGGCGTTTCACTTGGTTTGTTATCCAGAATACCGACCCGTGGCGTATATTGGGGCTCAGTTATTGCGCGCTACGTTAAATATTCCCCAGAGCCTTCCCGGTATGTCCCATTTCAAAGGAGCCAACTTTCCTATTCATGGCAATTGCGAATGCAAAGGCTGTCATGCCTGCCAGGAGACGGCCTTTAATGTGTCGATGCGTTGATACGGACGGCGGCGTTCAGTGCCGCTCGCGACCAATGCGGGCGGGCTCCTTCACTGTTCCTCCCCCTCTCTGGCTCATAGTCGGCTTCTGAGACTCCAGCGGCACACCTGACCTGCCCAGTCGGATCGGTGGCTGAACGGACAGGGAACATTGGTTTTGCATTAGTCCTGTGTCTCCTCCAGCCGGCAGGAAGAGACTGACTTGTCCAGTGGGTGTCAACTCTCCGTAAAGCGGTATGAAGTGGTGAATGGCCATGAATCATTCCACCAGCAATTTTCAGTATGCAGCCTACATGGATTTCGTTAGACATATATTTTCATATTTCAACCTAATTGATATTTGCATCCCACGCACACGTCCCACGTTGATGTCTTCGGAACATCAGTAAATCAGAGCGCTCTGCCATCCGATTTGGCTGCGATGACCGCGGAAATAATCGGACGAATCATTCGGCAGCGGCGCCGATCATCGATGCCGCCCCGGCGCTGTTTTCGCAGACGTCGAGTGGAATCCCGAACGGGATACATTTCCTCGCGAGGCGGCCTTTTTGATGAGAAAACGCAGAAATATGGGCCGTTTGTTGGCAGTGTGGAAGTGCGATAGATGAGGCCCATTCCGGCTGCATAGCGCTGGGCGGGCTCTTTTCTCGGGCCGACGGCGGCGCAGCGGGCCCATAGATAAACAGCGCAGACAATCGGCAGCACACCACCGAGCCGGCGCGGCGGGCGGACTGTCCGGCGGATGGATGGACCGCCCGCTCCCGGCACCGCAGAACCAGAGGCGGCGACACCACAGCTCAGCGGCCGGGGGTGCTGAGTGGCGGGCTACATACGGCGCTGTCATCGCGACAGCACGTGTCCCCCGCTCCCCAGGGATCGGCCGTCGCCACCGGCGCCGCGATCATCCATCACAGACCCGGTGCGTATCGCGCCAGGACAGCGCGACGCACGCCAGCTCCGCCGCCGACCGGTGCTGACGCGGCGCTGTAGCGGCTCGGCGCCGACCCGGCACCGCCCGACCGTGTGATGGTGGCCCGCCGCTCGCCACGACCTCGCCCGCCGGTGGAGCGGCCCTCGCGACTAGCCGTGTCCGCCGCCGGACGCCGCCGCCTGACCAGGTGTTCGCCGCTCCGGAAATGAGTCGGCCAGCCGGCCGGCACGCCGCAGCCGCCCGGCACGTGTCTGCCGTGCCGGCCGTGCTCCGTGGACGTGCCCGGTCGCCGTGCTGCCGTGGCGAGTCACAAACACGGTCGGCGGCGGCGCGTGGGTGACTCTGGCGCGGTAACTAGGCCGGGGTGCGGACCGCGGCCCGGGTCATACCCAGAAACTAGCTGCCAGAGCGCGATGTGTAGCACTGCCGACAGCAGTAAACAGGAGGCGCGCTCGCTCGTCCGTCCCCGTTTGTTAGCCGGACCCATCCGGCCCGGACAGCGCCGCTGACGCGAGCAGATGGATTAGCTAAACACATTCTACGAGCGGCCGGGCGCGGACGTCTCCGCGCTCCACCGCTTTGTTCCGCCGTCCGCGAGGCGGTAATTGGTGTACGGGGACTGTGCGGAAGTGTGGAACCATCGGCGATAGCAGGAGCCTGAGAGGAAATAGCAGCGGACTTGTTTTACGATCTTCGTATTGAAATGGTTATTACGTGTTGCTGCTAACTAAATTTCTTGCTAGTTTAAATGTCCTCAGTTGAGTGCTATGTGTAACGATTAAATGATTTCGTACTAATGGTTTGTCAGGTGTAGGTAATTGATGAGATAACTGGCTGCTCATTAGATAAATTAGGCTCCAAGTAAATGCGGTCTGATTCACTTTAAATCACACCATTGTTAAGTCACATGCGTATACCCGTATGCTAACTGCTAAGATTGACACGCTAGATGTTCCCAGTCCCAAGTGACAGTGCAGAATACACTAGCAGTTCTTGTGTTTTCTGTTAACGGCTTGAGATTATGAATTTGGCCAAGATCACACAATATAGCAATGCCAAGCCTCGTAAGGTCTGCGTTAAAACGTTTCCCTTCTCACATTGTTCAATAATTCCCTGCAAGAAAGCAAAATAAGATCGGTTGGTGTGTGCCCTGTGGTCACATATCCCTGGTATGGACTCAGGCCACATCAGCCCAACATTTGTGTTCCGAAGTTGATGAACTGGCGCTCAGACTGACTGTCAGCCGGCATATGTTCACCATGAGACTGGCCAGGCGCAGAACGGCCTCGGGCCGGCTCTCGAGCGGCTGCAAATAGCGACGACGCCGCGACATCCATCGGCCGCCTGTTATATAAATGCGGAGATCCTGAGAGCGCGGCGGTTCGGGCTGCATAATTCAGAGACCACGTCCTCAAAAATATTCAGCCGCCGTGTCTGTCTCGAGCAGAGGGTATAGTGGTTCGGCGGACGGGCAGCAGCCGCGGGACCAGCCTCAGAGATGGACGGCGTGGCGGCGGTATACTAAGGAGCCTGGGAGCGGACACACTGGTGGCACTCCCTCTATGATGGAGCACCCCGTCTGCTGTCATTTGTTATTGTATTTTAGCACAAGCGTTTGTGTAAAAACTAAAGTAATCGCCACGGCAGCAGTGCCGGCCGCAGTCTGCACCGTTGGTCCTGCACTCTCATTACCGGCTGGTCGACGGACGTCCGCGGCCGACTGTCCTGCCGTGCAGAGGACAAATTGGACGGCCGACAAGCACGCCGTGCCGGGTCACGCGCGCGGCTCTGACCCCGCCCCGGAAACGGCCGATCCCGGACAGCGCCGTCCACGGCCGGCCCAGCCTCGATATTGGCCCAATATTCGCAGTGAAACCCGAGACGTCCGTCTGAAGCTGCCGCTGATGGCGGTTCCCAGGAGTCGGCCCTGAAGCGGCCTGGCTAGCTGGGCCGGCCGGGACGCAGCCAAGACCTCGCAGCTCCGAGCAGTAGCGCATAGACCTACACCGTTTCAAAGTCAATCCACCTCCGGATCAAAGGCGGGGTTGAAAAGTGAAAAATCCCTTGAACATGCGCAAGAGTTTTCATTAATTGTGTAAAATTAATGTTGCAGTAAAGGGCTTCTTGACCTGCATGATGTGAATTTCTCGGCCAATATCATTTGTCTCGGTGTTTGGGAACCGGCAGCTGTGCGGACCGTCTCGGGATGCTGAGGATTGTGGGCTCGACATGGTAGCGCCTCGGAGTCAGTTCTGAGGATGTGAGCCCGTGACTGGCTATTCGGACAGGCAGATCCGACCGGTACAAATTAGTCACGAACTGAGCGGTATACGACAGTTATCTGAGCTAGCTTTATGACTCAGCGGCGGGGAACGGCGCACATCGGTGGACTCAGATAGGCCCGATAGGAGGACGCCCACGCCGCGGGGCGTGCGTCACAGACCCCCTCTCCCTCTCTCCTCCCGGCACCGCTGTCACCGCAGGGCCGTGTGGCAGACAGCTCTGATAGCATACCACGCCCTGCCTTATGACGCCGCGCCGCGCCGATCGTGCCGCTTACATTGGTGGCGGAAACGCCGACCGGAAGACTTAAACGAATCGCAACAAAAACATGTTTGGGCGGGGTATCTTTTGGTGAGGAAGAAAAAGGCAGAACGAACTGCAGTTTCTGAGTTATCTGGCTGTTTTCGGCGCCGGAATGTTATGTTGCTTATTCAGGAAGCGTTTGACTCCTCGATCCTACCATAGCTTGCGATCAACAGGATCGGAGCCGTCAGATATCGTTGGGGAAATCCGATATCAGATGACATAAGCGGACGACAAATATAGTTAAGTTGCCTGATTGCCATGCCGTCAGCCATGTTATTATCGTTCGTTCGCTTTGGGCGATTGAAAGGACACCACTTCTGTGGTCAGCTTAAATGGATGTCCATGGCAGACGGTTGTTTGGGTATCGTATACGTCGGGCTGATCTGCCGGGAAATAGCAAGCGGTGAGCTAACGCTGTAAAGGTAAATAGTCAGCTCCGAGTCAGCTATGCAAGCTGAAGAGGAATGGTGAGCCTTGAGCTAGTTTTGATGGAATGGTGAGCTAAGACCTGAAACTGCAGAAGAATTGTGACCCCTGAACTATCTCTATTTAATAAAAATGTTGAGCTCTAAATGACGAGTTAGCTGTGACGAGAGATAGACGAGCTCTTTTTCAGCTGTGCAAAGGAGTGGTGAGGTGAGCACTGCGTCTCATGTAAATAAAATAGTAAGCTCTAAGCTGGGTCCTGTCGGAGAATCGAGCGATCCTGCGGACCGCCTTCCATCCCCATTAGCGCGCCGCGGCTGATGTGTGCCAGCGACGCTGCTCGGAAGCAGTTCTGGAGGTCGTCGCGGTCAGGCCTTTGCTGGATCTGACAGTCCAGTAGGAACTCGAGACGACCGGGCGACGCTGCGCCTCTGAAATTCGTCGGAGATATTTGGCCATCGGGGGACTGATTCGCCGAACGCCGACCCTGTACAAATGTCGCGGCGATGCGACCGCAGCGAGCACCAGACGCGGCGGTCTGGCGAGGCCTAACGGGCAGACTCGTCTCCATTTTAATAGGCCACATTTCCCGAGACAGTGAAACCAACGGGGATGCGGCTCAATGAGACAATTTGCTCCGATGGCCGGCCGAATGGCATTGCCGTCCGGTGTCGCCCCCATAAAGCGGACATCGTACAGCCGCCCTCCGCCGCCGGGCATAAAAAGGCCGCCCGATCGGCCGCGCTAAAACACAGCTGCTTCGTATCTCGGGCGCCAGCCGTCGCCGCTGTCGGGACGGCCGCGCCGCCGACCGCCGATCAACAGGAAAACAGCCGCCGCCGCGGCGACCCGAGTCCCTCCCGCGCTCTGTCCTCGCTGCCATCCTCTCTCCGTGATTCGCTTTCCACGCCCTCCTGGGCGAACTACCGGTGACGGCCAGCCGGTTCCGCCGGCCTGCTGACCGTCCCCTGACGGCAGCCATGCGTGCCTCGGACGGAAATTCAGCGTGAAATTAGATGTTTTGCTCCCATGAGTCGGCCGCTCTGCTCCTGCATTGTCTCGACGATCTCCCATTCCATAGCGAAATGTCTCGGATAAAGAGATCGTTTCACGCATAGCAGTTATCGATTAGCTGTGCGGGGCGGTACTGCGTGACTGAATCAGCTGGCAGGGAAGTGTCGCAATATAGGTATATTTTCGAATTAACTGCGGTTGATATTGTGAATTAACCACGGCTCATATTCCCAGATGCATCCGGGATATGCCCTGTTCCGAGAAGCACAGTGACCTTTCGTTCCAGTGAAGCCTAATGCCAGCCGACTGCGCAGTTAATCATAGTGTCAAGGGACGCTGAATATGGCTCGGGTACCTTATAGTAGTGCGTAGCCGTGTTAGTGGGAACTAAACGCTCGGCTCGGCTCCGATGGCGGCGCTTGCTGACGGAGACGGAAGTCAGCCTGTGTGCCGGTTACCTGACCTTGGCGTTTTTTTCATATAAAATAGTTGTTCTGCCATGTTACATAAGATGTCGTTCCGGCGCAAAGCCTCAGAGCGTGCGCTACTTTCCGGTGTGTCGCTAGATGGCAGCAGCAGTAAACGCCTGTAGTTAGGCTGTGCCGCATGCAGCTATTGCTTCTATACAGACTGTACGGTGCACCGTCAGCGGCGGGTCTCTCTCTCTCTCTCTCTCTCTCTCTCTCTCTCTCTCTCTCTCTCTCTCTCTCTCTCTCTCTCTCTCTCTCTCTCTCTCTCTCTCTCTCTCTCTCTCTCTCTCGCTCTCTCTCTCTCTCTCTCTCTCTCTCTCTCTCTCTCTCTCTCTCTCTCTCTCTCTCTCTCTCTCTCTCTCTCTCTCTCTCTCTCTCTCTCTCTCTCTCTCTCTCTCTCTCTCCGCTGTATGATATCCCGTCTCTGCCCTCTATGACATCCCGTTTCTCCGTGTGATATTTCTCCGTCGCCTCCTGTCTATCCCGGCCGAGTGAGCGGGCGGCTCCTGTGTCCGGGGAGGCGGCATTAATTCGCCGTCGGCGCTGC